TGTTTGTATATTCGAAAAGTGTTTTTGCCGTTAATCAAAGTTGCGTTATTCATCTGCTTCTTCTGCTGTTGCTCTTGAAGTTGCAATAAAAGCACGTTTTGATTGAAATATTCTGCAGCGTATTACGGGCGAGTGAGTGTACGTGCATGTGTATGAATTTATATTCAGCAGCGCGAAAGGAGACGGAAATTGGCAACGAAACATTTCATGCCGCGCGAATTGAAGGTTGGTTAGAGTTGCCAATAAAAATAATGGAAATACATACATACATACATAACAAAAAAAATAAATATAATAATAATAAATAATTCATAATAATAAAAGCAATAACAATAGCAATACGAATAAAAGCCAGTTGCTTAGTGATATGGTAGATTTTGGGTCTGGCTATCGATCAAGCAAAGCAATTTATTGCGCAGGATATCTGCATACAAAACTCCTAATTTATATCCGGAAGAAATGCATGGATTAACTTACACATAAAATGACAATTCATAAATATCGAATTAACAAAAAATACCTACACCGTGTAACAAAATGAAAACAAAAAAAATTTTTTCACGAACTTTTTAAGTGATCTAAAGTAGCTGCTAGACGTTGCAAGTGCAAGTGGTTTTGAAAAGTGTTTCGAACTCAGGAATTTCCAAAAGTGATTTCAAGAGCACACACGAAAACATTTCCTACAAGCTTTAACAGTTGTATGAACAGGCTATTGAAAAAATGAGACTACAGCTCCATGGGGGTAATTGCTTATATCAATTACAAGCCATAGCTCTTGGTGGAAATGAGCTATTAGACCTTGCATGTAAAGCTTCTTTCTTAGGCAGTCGTAATTTCCGATAGTGGAACTTTCCGATACAACTTTTTGTCTGTTTACATGGCGAATGCAGAAAATTCCCCTTTTAGCAGTGTTACCAGACATCTTTATGCTAATGAGAAAATCAATGATCTGGAAATTTTATTAAAATTGCTAAAATGGGCACAACACAGCCACAAAATGTGGAATGCATTAATATTTAAAAACTTCACATCAGTAGAATAAATTATTTATAAGTACATACTAAGTACTTATGTACATATACTGTTACTCACAAAATTAAGCAAAATCGCAAAATGTTTAATAAGAACTTCAAAAAAAAAATGCGGTTTTAAAGCCCTTTAAATTTTAATATAACAATATGCAAATTTCAAATGTCTGAAAAGTCGGGTTGATTTTTGATATTTTTTCGATATAAATTATTTTCAGATTTTTTTATATGAAAAAATGCTTAGGCCAGTCAGCAACCAAATTCTCAAAAAGCAACGACAATTGGACATTATTATACTAACATTTAATGGGGCTATAAAACTGCATACCTCATTTTTTTTTAGAAATTCTTAATAAAAAGTTTTCGATTTTGCTGAAACTTCGCAGATTTTTTTAAGTTTCGTACAAAGTTTCATTTTTCGATTTAAATGTGGTATTTTAATACAACATAAACAAAAAATTTAGCATGTAAACCATTGCGAATATTAACAAAAAGAACTCTACGCTATATTTTGTGAATTACATGTTTATAATTTTATACAACTCAGCGCCACCTAGCGGGAAAAGAAAGATGTTCATCATCTGGTTAGCCCTTTCAGTACAGAAAAAAATCAACGGTTGTAACTAAAATCTGAATTCGTGTTCCGCGTAATTTTAGGTCGTTGTTTTCAAAAATACAATATTTTTATTATTATAAAACTGTTAGTTTTACCTTTATTCAGCGTCGATTATATTAGACCTCGGTACCCTAGCATCGTAAAATAGGAAGTGGTCTTAATTAATAATATATAATTATATTGGGTTATTATTACAAAATAGGACGATGCCGCTATTCTTCGGTATATCTAAAGGATAAAGATGGGCCAAAGCTGAGGGTAGTATATTTTTGCCTAATTTTAAACAGTCAAAAACCATGGGTTCAGTTATCTCACCAACCATTTTTAAGCAGAGATTCGTGCAATAGATATTTGTGTCCGAGAATAACACATCTTCCAAATGCATCTGCATTTATATTGGAAAGCCTTACTGGCTTTGTAGCCTCACGTAATACGTAATTAGTTCAACACACTTAACTTGATCGAATAAACAAAAACATGATTACCTGGTACACTGTTGGCTCATTGACCGACGAGGGTAGCGGGGTGGGGGTAGTGGGACCGAGGTTAAGATACCCGGAACCCATGGAAAAATATATGTATATTTTCTCAAGCTGAAACATACGCCATAGAAAAATGCGCGGACTTTAATAGCAAGCGAAACTACCGGAATCAGAACATCGCCATCTTGACTGACACCCAAGTGGCTATCAAGGCTCTTAGATCTCACCAGGTAACATCTAAACTGGTGATGGAGTGTCACGAAAAGCTGAATACCCTTGGTCTGGCCAATCAGGTTTGGGTTCTATGGATTCCGGGACATATTGGTATTAAAGGAAACGAGATTGCCGACAAACTAGCGAAGAAAGGTGCATCAACGCCTTTCACCGGCCCAGAGCTTTTACGTGGCCTGGGAAAAGGGGAACTACAGTACAGAGACTTGTTCGGTTAGAGGAAGAGGCTCATGGGAAACGCTACTGAGATAATCTACCAGGTCTAGATCAGTCCAAAGCAGTTTAGAAGAATGTGCTGCACTGATGCACAAATGCAAAAGGCACCTGGGTAAACAGCTGATAACAAAAGGCGTAGTGAAATCCGTAGATTTAGGTTCCATACTAAAGTTTTAAGTACAATTGCTACTAATTTGATTGACCAACCAACATTCCTACATCTACAAAACACAAACGATTTTCACTGTGATTTAAAAATATGAAACGGTATACACAATACACAACAAAATCAAAGTTTCAATCTTGAAAAGTCGATAACTGTTAACACGAAACACGAAAGCAGAAAACTAATAAACTCAAGTGCATGAGTGAGCATGACAGGCCCACCCTCATTTTCCTACGCCTTCAAACCCTTCCTCCACGACAATTTTCTTTATGTAATTGCAAAAAAAAAAAAAAAAAAATACAAAAACGGCCTGCAAGTTTCGATTTCTCGTTGTTATTGCCAATGTAGTTGGTTGACGTGTTTCATTTTTATCTTGAACGCAAATGTTTTAGTTGATTAGTTTGACATTTCTTAGAGGAGTTGTTTTTGTTTTTACTTTTTGTTTTTTAAGTGGAAAAAACAAAGATTTTTAATTAAAATGTAATCAGTAAACAAGTTAACTGGCGACAATCGTTGCTCGAGCGTATCGTTTGCATCTTTTCTTAGTTTCACACCAATCACGCCAATGAAGTCAATTAGTCAACATTGGGAATTTTTTTCTTTTTTATATTAGAGTGCTCGATTGTGTTTATTAATGTACATATGTAAGTATGAATGTATGTATGTTGAGAGGCAAGCGATAGGAAAACAAACGAGCGGCATATAGGCCTGTGTTGAAAAGTAGATAAGAGAAGGAAAAGTGGTGTGCGATTCACGTATGAATGAGAAAAATGTGTAATTCCATTTTTTTTTTAGTATTTCACAGTGATCGAGAACAAAAAACGATCAGCTTTCTCTGGCTTAGAATCAACAATAGTGGTTTTCACTAAAATGATTTTGTTATCGATTTGTTTTTCGTTCTGTTATCCTTATTTGATCTTAGTCCGTCTTGAAAACGTTCTCGATACTTTCATTCTCATTGCAAATATTCGCGAAGTTCCGTTCTTTTTTTCTGTTCTTTTTGACAACGTTCTCTTTGAGTGTTGTTCTCATTCTGTAGTTCACGGAAATGTTCCTTAACGTTTCGTTCCCGGTTCAAACTATGTATTCCCTTTCTATCATCTTAAATTGGTTGATTTCAAAATCCGCAAATTTACCTAGGCCATCATTCGTAAGAGAGACTTCTGTTTAAGAATCTCAGAAGCGTCAGTGTTATTAGTCTGATACCAACATGTTTTCGATTCTACTTACTGGACTTGCAAAGTAATGAGTATTTACATAAAAAACCTTTGAATATTTAGTAAAAAGTGAACTTAGAAACCCGATTAATTGTCTTATTCACATTTTGCCATTGTGTAGTCGTTGCCTAATTTTTATCAATCTTTTAAGCGACAAATTTTAAACACTTGACAAAATTTCAATTTCAAATTTCAGTTTATAAATATCTAGTTTTTAAATGGCCAAAAAGTTATGTTCAGTATGCGAAGCACCAATAGTTTAAAATAATACAATTTCTGTTCAGTTTTTTAATATTGACAAATTTTTGCTAATTTTTTGAATGACCCAAACATTTTATTCATTTTTTAATTGTCAAAAAATTAAGTATAGTTTTTAATGAACAGGAATTTATGTCGAGTTTTTAAATGTTCAAAATTTTTCTGCTCTTTTTAAAATCACTAAAAATTTAACTCATATCTGAATTGTCAAAAAATTAAGTCTGGTTTTTAAATTAACAGTTATCTATATCGAGTTTTTAAATGTCAAAAATTAAAATCAGTTTTTAAATTTCCTAAAAATTATACTCATAGAAAAATTACGAAAAAATTGTGTACATTTTTGAAATGAACAAAATTATGTTCAGTTCTTAAATGTTCGAAATTTTTCCTCGTTTTTAAATCACCTACAAATTTTGCTCATGCAAAATTACCAGAAAAATTGTGTTCAATTTTTTAATTACTTACAAAAAAATTATGCCCAGTTTTTAAATGTTCAAAAGTTATACCAAATTTTTTAACTACCAAATGTGATATAAAATTTTCCATAAACCTTTAAGCGAAAAAAACAATTTAATTTGTGTAGGTAATGGTGGATTTCTACTGGATGTTAAATTACAAAAATTTGAATGAAAAAAAAATTGGCATTAAAAAATTTTCATGACATTACGCTTTTAAATTATAATTTTTTTTTCGTAGTTTTAGTGCCTAGTGGAAATTTGGCGCAAAAAAATAATTTATTTTATTTTTTAATATTTATCATAATCTGTGTTTTTGCTTTCATTTCAGCTCACTGGCAGTAAAACAAGTATTATGAAAAACTGAAAAAAAATATTCCACTTATGTGAAAAGTGAGAAAAAATTTCTTTAAGTGTGGCAAAGAGAAAATCAATGAGAAAAATTAAAAAATATTGAAAATTATTTTTCAAAAAGCAAATGAAAGTGTTGAAAAAAGTTAAAAGTTTCAAATCCATCACTTAATAAAATTTATCATTAAAATCAACTAAATACAGTGTTATAAGTAGTAAAAGAAATCTTTCTATAGAGTGAAGATGGAATTTTAAGACTATACATTTAAATATCTACGAGTCACTCAAAAAATTATTTATAAGTAAAAAACATCAATCTAAAATTGCAGTGTTTTACAATAAAACATCAAATTAAAGAAGCAACAAAACAAAAAAATTAACAATTTAAGAAATTATTGAAACTAATTTCATTATTAAATTTTATATACAGAAATTTGAAAATCTAAATAGCAGCAGCACTAAAAATAGTAAAAATAAAAACTTAAACAAAACAGAAACAAGTGAAAAATACAATTTATTAAACAAATGAACAAAGGTAAAATTTTAAAAAGAATATTGTCAAATGAATAATTAAATAAAAACCAAAATTACAACACATTTTCAGTTTGTGAATTTGTGAAATTTTTACAATAAACTTAAGTGTTAACTTTAAAGTAAAATCAAAAGCTAAAACAAAAAAAGCTAAAGATTCAATCTTGAAGATAAGAGAAAGAGAAAAAATTTAATTAATATTTGAAAATAAAAGTAAACAACAGCTATAAAGTGTGTTTAAAAAAATTAAGGGGTTTTAAAATAATTAAAAGCTGATAAATAGCCCAGCACGTAATTAATATTTCATAAAAAAAAATTTATGCAACTAAAGAAAATATCAAAAAGTTGTAATTTTTCAATAAAGATATTACAAATTTTTGCACAGTCAAAACCTAAAACAAGTTTTAAAAATTTCTTTTGTGTTACAAAAAAATTATACCTAAAAAATAATAAAAAAAATTGTGTCTCGACAAAATCGCGATAATTTTTATTTAACAGCATTAAATACACCTCAGTAGCAACAACAACAACAACAACAAAGAAACAGCCAACATGCTTTTCGAGAATCCAGCTTTAGCCGCCAAATTACCATTCCCATACAATGTGCCACCACCATTACAGGCGGCCGCCGCAGCAGCAGCCGTTCCAAATTTAAGGTAAGCTCAGCAGAGAATTGCCTTCCGACCACATTTTGAATTATTAAATACTTAACATTTTCCAAGTATGTACATATATACTCGTACTAAATTTATTAGCTTCAATTTTCATTCACCTATTCCTCACCACCGCACACCTTTGTTGGTGCTGTGCTGCAAACCCGCAGGATTCAAAGCGCGCGGCATCGTCACAGGAAGTGTGTCAAACGAGCGCATAGGTGTTGATGAGTATTCGATTAATGTGTCTCCGCAGCATGTGTGCGAGTGTTTATCTGTATGGGGGTGTGTATGTGGGTGCGTGTGTGTGTGTGAGTCTAATGGTGAGTGTGCTTGGCTTTCAAGTCAATCAAGCAACCAAACCACCAACCAGCCAGCATACTCACTGGACCACCATAGCTAATGAGGCGGCTGCTACATAATATTTCCACACACACACACACACACTCACATACACACCCACACCTGTAAAGCGTAAATTTTCATTGTAAACTGGGCGGCAACAATGCCAATAACAAGCCGGAGGCGGCAGCAAGAATAAACGCAAAAACGCCAGCAAACATCAAACTCTTGCTTGTGTGTGTAACGCCACCGACCAGTGCACAGTGGTTCAAAATTAGCATTATGTGTTCACAATTAAATGGAGCCTTAATTTTTCACTCAATTTGATAATTTTTTTTTTTTAATGAAAGCTAATAAAATTTGCCAATGAGCAATTGAGCCCGATTTTTGAATTTTAGTTTGTTTGTATTAATTTTTTTAGTGCAAAATGCAGAAAAGATAGCAATTTTGAAGAAACTCGATTCTCCTGTTCCAATTAATAAATGTAACATAATAAAAACTAGTGTTCTCCCAAAACGAAAAAAATTAAAAAATAATTATTTGAAATGTTATAAAAAAAATTAAATTAATTATTAAATTTCTTTTTCGTGCGTAGTGCAGAAAAAGTAGCAGTTATGAAGAAAAACGATTCTCCTGAATTGTATGGTGCCCGAAGTGAAAAAAAATTTACAAAAAAAAATTTGAAATGTTTTATAAAAAATTGTCTCTAAAATAAAAAAAAAAATTGATTTTCAACAAAAAGTATGGGTATGCAGTTTTATGAATCATTAAATTTTAGTGTAATAAAGTGCAAGTTAGGCGCCTGCAAGAGTTCGCGTTGATTTTTAATAATATAAGCTTTTATTTCTCCCATTTACCATGTAGATGTGCTCGAAAGGTTAGCGAAAAATTATGAAAAATCAACGTTACCTCTTAGCCACTTGCGAATTGCACTTTATTATTCTCAAATTTAATGATTCATAAAACTGCATACCCAAACCTTTTCTTGAAAATCAAATTTTTTTTTTAATTTTGGTGAATTTTTTTTATAAAACATTTAAAATTTTTTGTAAACAATTTTTTTTCGTTTCGGGGGCACGCTACAATTGTTTGAACGCGTTTTTATTTTGTAACATTTATTAACAGGAACAGGAGAAACGATTTTCTTTAAAATCTAAAAAATTTAATACAAACAAACAAAGTTGAAAAAATCGAGCTCAACTGGTCTCTTGCAAATTTTATTAGCTTTCATTAAAAAAAAATTGATCAAATTCAGTGAAAAATAAGGGCTCCAGTGAATTGTGAACACTAAATTCGCGTTTTGAACCACTGTGCAGCGCTACCACTTTGCCTAGCAGGCGGCATGTGGCGTGTGCTGTGTGGCATGTGATGTTGGTCGTCTGCATGGTTGACTGCTCGACACTTAACTTTGCTTTTCATCTCCGTCCCACCTACAACTTCTGCAAAACTCTCTTCAACGCTTACTACCTACCACCCCTTGGCTTCCGCATACTCGCATTTTTTACCATTTCTTTCTCTGCTACTCTTGCTCTGTTACTCTGTGTTTTTGTTTATATTCGCTCGCTTCGACGCGATTTTAATATGCAAATTGGTATCACTTAAAGTAAATCATACTTTACTCGACTGTAATATTTATTTTTCTCGCTGCTTTTAATGCTTTTGCTGGTTGGTGTTGTTTCTACTCGTTGGCTGTATGGATACCTGGCTAGTTTTGTGCTTGGTTTGCTGTGGCTGACTGACACTTAATATGCAAAATATCAACATTGGCCAAAGCAGCTGTTGTCTTTGCTGAGAATTTGAAACGCATTGAATCTCTCTACATAGAGTGGTAAGGGCGTTCGCGGATGCCAAGACGCGTGCGGTCTGACTATGATAACAGGAGATACTTCGTTTTGTTCACGCTCACCACCAGACCCATTCGCTAATCCCGAAAAGGCACAACAGACGTAGCTCTTGTTTTGACCGATGATGTGGACATCGTCGGCATACGCCAGAAATTTTACGCTCTTGTAATGATGGTATTACTCAACGTCATTTTACACAGACGTATTAGTTTCGCAGGGATACTAAATTCAGACATCGCGGCATAAAGACAACTTCTTCTCGTGCTGTCGATAGCGGATTTAAAATCGACAAACAGATGGTGTGTGTCAATCTTATTCTCACGGATCATCTCCAAGTTTTGGCGTATTGTGAATACCTGGTCTATGGTGGATTCGCCAGGTCCAAAATCACACTGATAAGGCATAATCAGTTCGTTGACGGTGGGCTTCAATCTGTCATAAATTACACTCGATAAGACCTTGTAACCTATGTTTTGAAGGCTGATCCCGCGGTAGTTGCCGCATAATTCTAAATATTTCTTTAAACAAATGTTTCAGGAGATACTAAATTTGAGTAATAAAACTCAATTTCATTAAAACAAAATGCGATTTAAATGTCGGGTCGATCGGTCGGTCGGTGGGTCTTTTCCAGGGAGCTCTCCATCAAGCTTAAATTTATTCCTCCAGATCACTGTACTTAGTGTTTTTCAGGCGGCGGTTGCTGTTAGTGATAGGGTATTGTCCTAACGGGGTACATGCAGTATCTTATCGGAACGCCTTTGTAGCAGTTGTATGGAGGACGACGAGTAATCTCAGCATTTGCTCCTTGACAGCCCAGCTTTAACTAGATTTCGGCTTAGGCACTTGGCTTCATACTTTCTGGCAAGTCCTGACGGGCTCTCCGTGACAAACATTTGCCACTTATGAAACTTCGTTCTCGGCACTCAGCGATTCTCGCTCTAATTTAGCAATTACCGTTCGCAGTGGTATCACAAAGGACCAACGTCCGCGGTCTAAGTCAGCCCCTTAACACCTAAACTTAACCTTTGCATACTCGCAAAGATATGTAGAATTTCAAGTGTAACTGAATAACTATATAAATTTTAAGTAATAATTGCCTACAGATATATTAGAATAACTGGCCATCAATCAGATTGGCCTTTTAGTATCTAACCGTAGAAAAATTCATTTAAAATACTTGCGACAACATCAACATACGTCAGATTCTTAATCATCAACCCCAAAACCCCTGTTGAAAAACGTTTCAAGCGAATCGGATCGACTTGAAAGTTTTTTGCTGCCTTATTGGGCCCGCTATTTTGAATTTTTCCAATATGACAACAGATTCGTAATCAGCGGCCCCAAGAACCCCAGGGGAAATGGTTTCAAACGCACCGAATCAATTTTAATTTTTTTGGCCGCCATATTGGATTCGCCATTATACAATTTGAAAATCATACACGAGGTTCGTTATTACCAACCTCATAAACACAAGAACCTGCTGTGCTGTTACTTCGGTTCTCCGGTGGCGCAAAAGTTTTAAAGCGAAATCTAATTTACGGTTAGTTTAGACGCCATTTTTGAGACCCCATTTTTGAGACGCCATGTTGAATTTTTCAAAAGGCCACACTGTTTTCAATGGGGTCATCTATGCGATGATTTTAAGAC